GCCTAGACCCGCCTGAGAAGTCGGTCCTCGCTCAGCTGCTGGCTCCTCTGCGTCTGCGGACGTTACGACCCCACCGAGGGGGACCGGCCCAGGGAGCAGACGTCGGGGTGGCGAAGTGAGGGGCGCTCCTTTCGGGGTCCCAGACGCGCGGGCTAGCGGGAGAGTCTGCGCGCACGCCCACCCGACCTCTGCTCTCGCACCTGGGACTGGCCTCCGCCGTGCGTCAGTTGGGGACCCCGCTCCCACCCAAGCCCCCGACCCCCAGCCGGGCGGGAGGAGCTATCTGTCCGGGGCCCGAGCCTTGCAGACCCCCAGGGGCCCTCAGCCCCGCTGGGAGAATGAACCCAGCCTGCGTCCGGCCGGCGCCTGCCCAAAGCACCTCCACGCTTGCTTTCACGCCCGCGCGAAAAGTGACGCGTCCAGGCAAAGCGGTCAGCAAATGACCTTCTTAGCCGCCGAGGGGGAGAAATCGGGGGGAGGGGGGGAGGGGCAGTGGGGAGGGTTCGGGGGAGAAAGGGGCAAAGGGGCAGTGGTAAGCCGGGGAAAGAAAACAAACAGACCTGCGTCGCTTCCCCTTTTGTCTTTAGACTGCCTGTCTCAAGAAATCAACTTAACCACAGCAAGCCCCCACCAGGCTTGTTTTTGTTTGTTCGACTTAGATCACAGATAGAACTCCGGACCAAATCTGAGTGTGTGTGAGAGCGAGGCCAGGCTACTGGCGGCGAAGGGACGATGAACTTCTCACCTTTCTTTACTCACTCACAACACGTCCTTTACAAAACCCACGCCGCGGAGTGTGTGTAGTTCGCTGTTAATTGCGTTTTGCTGGGACGGTCTTTTACCACTCGAAAACAAGCGGCTGGGAAATATTCACGTTTGGGACAGAAAGCTTTTTTTATTTATATCGTTGACATTTAAAAGAGCAGAATTAATTTGTCCTGTCTACATTAGCATTGAGAGAAAGTTTCAGAAATCCACCCGGGGGAAAGGGGTGGGGAGAGAAAAACAACCACCACCAAAAAAAAAAAAAAAAAAAAAAAAAAAAAAAAAGGCGAAGAAAAGAAAGGAAAAAGAAAAGCTAAGGCTTGGTTTTTCTTATTTCAGATCTGTAATCCATCACTGAAATAGGAGGCAGCAAAATTGTAAAGATTCGATAGATTAAAATGCAAATGAAAGGTAGAAAAAGAAACATTAACATGGCGATCAAAGATTTAATAACCGTAAATCAGGTTTTTTTTTTTTCTGTTGCAGCTGCAGTTTGTGTGTGTGTTTATGTTTTAATCATGTTCGTTCCATAAATAAATAATTTCTGAAACGAGACTAATTTTTCATTATTTTAACCGTGGGCTATAACACTAAATATTAAAAATAGAAAACGTACAGGATGCCAGATCCCCAACCAAATAAGAGAAAGACTTGTGTTGATTGGTTAAAATCAAGGAATTTCATTTGTGTGTTCTGAAAAGGGGTATTATGCTAAAAAATTCTATCTCAACTGACAAAGCCCAAAGTTTTATTTTCCCTTTAATATTTTATGTTAACAACAAGATACCATTTATATTAAATATATGTGCCGCTGCATATCCACTTCACTCTGAGCACTTTCAAAGAAGGAAAGTGCCAGAATATTTAAATAATACAAAACATATATTATTTCAAAGTGATTTGACAGAATTCCTGGAAAATAATACTTTTTAGAAGAACTTGCCTTCTAGAGAAAAATTAAGTGATAGTTTCACACAGTTGAAAATACTCTTAGCTTTATCATTAAGGTTCTCTTTCCAAGTGGGAATATTTCAGCCTTTTCTTGCTGTTATCATTCGATTTAAGTTTTTAGGTCAAGGTGTCAAATTATAGGAACACTATTTTATTCAGCTATTCATTTTCTCATATGGTGAAGGCTTTTCATTCAGACCTTTTTATTTACAACGTTGATTTATACTGTTGATTTAAAAATTATTTGTAGAACTTTTAAAATAAACACATGGATTTAGGCTTTTCTTTCCTTCCTTCTTTCCTTTTTCTTTCTTTCTTTTCTTGGTAGTTATTAACATAAGGAGAATTCATCTGCAAAAGATTGGGAACTTTTCTTTTTGGTAATACCGCCTTGCAACATTTAAAATAAGCTCTTCCTTTAATTTTATCTTTGAAGAAGTTACTCACCCTAATTTATCAAAGAGATGAACCAGAAGTATCTCCATTTCTCCTCTTTCCACAAATTAAAATGGTAGCCAAACCTGGGATACTTGTTTCCTTTCTAAAATCTTTAAGTTAAAGGTGAACTAAGTTGGTGTCCACTCCCTCCATCCCAGCCACACATCACGTTTTCACTGTGACAGCCCAATACTGCATTTAGTTTAAAATTACACTTGGACCTTTCCTCCTTTGTATTTTTTCCACTTACTTCTGTGCAACAAGATGACTTGATTTTCATGGGATTACATGAACTCCACTCAATGTTACTGGGACACTTCTGCTCAACTAAATACTTCCCTTAATAGACAAATGAACTTCTTTTTATTTGCTGGAGTTTGTAGACGGTTTTAGATACAGAATGTGCAACTGATTTAGTTATTGTTGTTGTGAGAATCGAACAGGCACAAAAGTCATTTATCTACACCGAGGAGATATGACTCTGTAAAAGAGAGAAGCAAGGGCAGAATCATGGGGAATTATCTCAGTTTATAGCTCTTATTAATTAAACCGGATGTGGTTTTATTCTGATCTTTTAGTACCGACCTTGTTAAATGCTCCCAGATACCTCTTTACCCACGCATCCCCCAATTTTTTATGCATTAGATGAGTTGGGTCCCTTGCTGTTGGGCGCTGCTTTTTCTACATTATATCACTAAGCAGTTGCAGTGTAAAATCGCGTGAAGCTACAGATGATCGCACCCCTCCCAGAAAGAAAAAAAAGAAAGAAAGAAAGAAAGAAAGGAAAGGAAAGGAAAGGAAGAAAAAGAAAGGAAGAAACGCTTTTCCCATTCAGTTTTAGCATCTTGTTTCGTTGAAATGCAAGACAGGTACTTGATTTAGCATTTAAGCAAAAGGTTACACAAACCGCGTTTTAAAAAGTGTTGGGATGTCCGACAGGGTCAGCCCCAGATCAGATCATTTTTTGAATGCAGACCTAAAGATAATGAGTACTTGTTGTATTAAAGGGGACAAACAGTACTTTGGCTTCCTCTGACCCCAGAATGCACGGCTCGGTTTCATTGATCATCCTCCTTTATGAGATAATGCAATTACAAACATCAATAAGGGGCTGCAAGGGGAATCATTATGCGCTGACAGTGATAAATGACGGTGCAGAAATAGCATGCTTTTTCCCCCCTAACAATCCAGGAGCCCAGGGGCTCCGGGGGCTGAACACAGTCGCCAAGGAAACAGATGACATCCCAAACGGCACCAAAGGAAAAAAAATGAACAGTCTTTCTTTGCCTTTCACTCTTTTCCGTCTTCCAAAGAGTTAGTTTTGGCTCCAGCAGCAGCTGCCACACAGGCTTTTCGTTATTTCAGACATTAAAGCCTGGAGCGGGCGGTGGGAGTCTCCTTCTCTCCCATCCCCACCCCCATTAGATAACACACAAAGCTCGCTGTTCACAGTTTAGGACTACCTGAAAATGCACCTCTTGGAAATCAGATTGGGGTCGGGTTAGCAGTGCGGCAACGTGGGTTTACATAGCCACTGCATTGTGTTTTCCCCGCTTTCACGACTGTCCAGTGGAAACTGAGTCTCCACAACAAGCTGGCGCCTCGTGGGCCGGCCAGCAAGGACGGGGCGCGTGGCTCGCCTCCATCTCCCTGCGGTGCCAGACGCTGCTCAAAGCAAAGGTGGCGGGGGCGCGGTGGGGGTCGATGGGGAGCCGGCGTCTGCTAGGGGTGTTTGCAGCTTTGAGCTTTGCAGGGTTTCATTGAATTGGAATTATCAATGGACGCAGGGATCTCCCCTAGATCGAGGAATCTGGTTGTTCAAAGCCCCAGGGTACCCTCAGCAAGTGACTTCAAGAGGGCCTCACTGAGCGTTCCCCACCCACCCATGTCCAAGTTGGTGGGTGAAGGAAGCGGGCGCGGAAGAGATGAGGAGTGCAGTTTGGGGACCTGAGGGCTGCGGGGAGTAGTGGTGGGATGGGGGTGACAGCCTCGGGACCTTCCGTGAAGAAGGGGAGCTCGCCACTTTGGGGCAAGGGAGAAGAAAGGGAGCGCAGAGGTGTGAGGGGGCCCAAGATGAAAAGAATAAGGAAGGGGTGGAGGAAAGCTTGCGAGCGCAATCCCACCCTTCGAGAAGGTCGCCAACCCGAAGAAAGCAGACACAGGGTTCCTGACCCCTGCCGGGCACGCCCAAGCGCGGAGTGAGGAACCCCTGCGCAGCTTGCCTTGCTTGCCACTCGAGGCCCCCGCCCCGACCGACGAGCCGCCAGCGCTGCTGCGTGAACAGGTGACTTTATTCACTGCTTCCCGAATCGGCGAGGTCCCGGGACTCGTTTTCCGCCTGGAGATTAAGATCATTGCTCGCGTAATGAACTTAATGCTTTAGGGTAGAGGTGAGTGTGTCTGCGAGTGGGCAGGGGTAGAAATTACCGACTCGATCGATCGGAGACTGGCTTAAAACTAAATCCCTTTTCTCCAGGGCTTCACCGCCTGGCTTTCCCCCACAGTGGGCTGAGAGCGCCTGGCTGGCAGGGGGCAGCGCGCGGAGGGGCCACTTCGGGGCGCGGCCCTCGAGAACCAAGACCCTAAACGTCCTTCATCTCCCCGCCAAGACCCCGGGGTACTCGTTTTTAGGGCAAAAACTCTTAGAACCTCAAATGTTGGCGAACTGATTGCTCAATATGTTGTTTGTTTTTCCTTTCAGCTCCGCCTTGGGAGAGAATGTTACAGACGCGTTGGCGGGCAGATTGAGCCAAAAAGTGACACACACACACACACACACACACACACACACACACACACACACACA